TAGTTGTAATTTCTTTTGATTCGGAAAGTTTTCAGTAGAAAAGTCAATTAAATTTTTTTAACTTAACTTTATATTGTCCTCAATGGAATTCCAAATCATGCCTAAAAAATTCGATTCACTAGTTAATTTGTTATCTGATTCCTTAATCCCATTTAAGACCCATAAATCATTTAATGCTTTAGAATTAGTTCTTAATTTTCTGAAATTCATCCCAGCATCCATAAATATGTTAACTGCATCTACAGATAACCGATATGCATCTTCAACCGTTCCTGCTCCAAAATATAGGTCATCGACATAAACAGAAGAATTTAACATTTCGAAACTGTCCGGCATTTTATCTTTTATATTTCTGAATGTGATATTTTGTAGTGGCGTCCAAAATGAAAGGAGATATAGTCAAAAGCTATGCGACACATTTGCATAATCAACTAAAGAAATTTTAGAAATTGTCTATCACATTCAGCAATTCCTGTCATCAAAAAGGCTTTTTCGTCTCCACAAAACGCTTACTTAAATAAACTTAACGCTTACTTACGAAAATTTAACATAATGTCTAGTATATTTGGATTTAGATTAGGTCCCGATTCAAGGCAGTCATTTAACGAATTCGAGTCCTCTGTCCTTGAGCCTAGCATCATACACAATTCTTACTTTAGTGATTTCATTAGGTCATATTACTGTATCACTGCTCGATGCAGAATAAAATATCCCAAATTTGTATCATTATTTAGACATTCCTCCACAATTTCTTTTAATATCTGGTTCTCAGTTATATTTTTATATTCCTGAAAAATATCCGGAGTTTTACTTAGTTTGTTGTGAGGGTCTGCGAATCGTTTCTTAGCTACCTTAAAATTATTTCCCAGACTCTTTGGACTGTATTTCCAGATTAAATTTGCCCCATATCTACCGTTTGTAAACTGCAAATTTCTTTCAAACTGGTCAATTATTTCGCAGTCAATATCGGAATAATCATCAGAATCATTAATTCTCATATGGTCTAATTCACAAAAACCTCTTAAATCTTTCAACACAAGTGTTTTTCATTACCGCTAAATTTTCAGATTAATTTTTATTCGTTTTATTTTTCTCGATTCCCGCAGCAACCCAACCAAACACAGAACTGACTGTGTACAACCCTTCAGATATTTTAATTCTTTCTGAATAAACTACATTCCAGAATTTACCCTCTGCTAATTAATATCTCAACATCTATTTTCCTAGAGCAGTTGGCGATCTACAACCCCAGATGCTTCATGAAGTCTGCAATTTGTTTACTAGGCACACTGACGGGTGCCGAAGAAATAACATCTGAGATCAAACATTCAATTTTTATTTTATTATTTTGTTTCCAGTTCTGAATTTCGATTTTAACGACCAGATAGGAATGAATGCCTTGGTCGTACCAAATGAATAAACAGAAAGTCTTTCATAATGGATTGGAGTAAGTTTTAAATAGTCGGCCAATTTTTTCGTTATAAAGGATCTGTGACTGTCTTGATCAAGAATTCATCTAGTTAATTTTGATTTATATTTAGAACAAGCATAAACTGTACAAGTTTGTAATAATATTTCCCTGGTATTACAGGCATTATTATTACATTGAGGAACAGAAGCAATCAATTTTAAGTTTTGAACTTTATTTCTTTCCTCAGAATTCAAAGGCGAAGATTCATTTTCATTTTCGGAATAACCTTGTTGCGACTTTTTGTTTACAGGGGATTTATTAGTACAAATCAATTCATTGTGATATATGTTTCCGCCACATTTATTACATTTAGTTTTATTTCTACACTTTTTTGATGTATGAAATTTTTTAAAACACGAGTAGCAGCGGTTTTCAGATCTTAGTTTCTTTAAGTTATCAGAAACATTCACTTCGCATTTAAATGACTCATGCAAATTATCACAAAAGATGCATTTTTGGTTAACTGCAGTATGAAATGAAAATGGGTATATATTTTACATATTTTGATTGATTGACTCGTGGAGGCACAGGATTTTTCCTTTCATTTAATACTAGATTTGAAACTTTCCTGCATTCTATTTCCTTTTTAATAACTTGTGTTAATTCCAAAACTTCAACTTTATCTTTTGATCCTCTTTGCTGATTCAATTCCAAAACTAAATTGTCTGGAATTAATTTTAATAATATTGGAATTAATAAATGTCCATATGAGCCAGAAGTTACCTCTAAAACTTCCAAATTACGAATCGAAACTTCTAATTCATCATACAATTTATGTGAAGCCTTTACGTTAGCAGAATTTTTAATGGCTTTTAACTTGAGAATTTTATTCATGTATGAATTAATGATTAGGTCTTTTCGACCATATCCGTCCTTTAGTGATGCTACACAACTATCATAATTACTTTCTGTTAATTCAAAGCCTGAAACAACATTCGAAACTTGTCCCGTTGCAGAACGAAACTTGCCCCACCTAGCAGAATGTGTTTAAGTATGCAAATTTTTGTATTTTGAGAGCATTTCGTTTTTATCTATCGAATTTTCGAAACTATTCCAAAATTCATTCCATTGTTTTGGGTCTTCCCAAAGTTTATCAATCATTAATTCTAGTAATTTCAGCATACTATTCCCACTCGAACTAGAACTTGCATGCAAAATTCCATTACCACTAGACTGGTTTAAATCAGAACTTTGAGGATTCTGCGCTGGCGGTACTACTGTAACTGCATCTAGAAACTGCCTAATTTGACTACAAACAATTATACATTTGTCATTGTACTCTTCGCTTATACTATAATCTTCTTCAATTAAGTTAACATTAATTAACTTTTGTATTTCATCATCAAGCATTCTCAAATTATTTATTTTTCAGTTAATAATTCAAACAATTCCCATAATTCTTTAATCGAATTTTCCTCCCCTTCAATATTTAATTTATCTTCAATCACTTAGATTTCCCTACCTTAATTTGGAATTACATTGTCCCTTGAATATGAACTTTCCATTCTTAAATCCAAATTGAAACACTCAGATCGAACACACAAAAGTTTCTCAAAATCGTATATTCCCCGCCACATGCACCATATAATATTTGTGCGTTTCTAAATCAGATGATGGTGGTTCAGTGAGTTTTAACACTTTTACATTTTTAACAGTATTTCAATTCACTATATACAGAGTGTATTCTTAAGCTGCCGCCTTCACATAAGCAACTTTATTCTCTCTACTATGCGAGCAGCAGTGCCCTCTAGCCCTTTTATCCTTTCAAATTATAAACACTCTCACTAACAGTTATCTTCTGAATCAATATAGCTTTCAACATCAAAATCTTCATCTTTGACATCCTCATCGTGCCTCCAATAAACTGTGGTGCCTCCAATAAACTTTGGTGCCTCCAATAAACTGTGAATTTCTTCAAGGTCTTGAGAGTTTCTCAAATCAAGCATTGTTTTTGACATTTTGAAGCATGAATGAAACAAATATTTATAAACTTGTTATGAAAATGTCTTTGTCAAATTTTGTAATGAGCAGAATTTTAAATTATTAAAACATTTTATAATGCATGACATGATCAGGTTTAATGTGCTTGAAAAGCCAGAGCAAAGAAACATGCCCACTTTTGTAGATAATCATAAAATATTTTATTATAGGAAACTGCTAATCAAAAATGTGATACAGTCATCAGGTGTGATCAGGTGATATACATAAGTAGTAAAAAATGGCAGATTGTCAAATTGCAATGTAATCGAGTTATTAGATTATTTCATCTGTTAAATGGAAATGAAGAAATATATTTACTGACTGACCTTATGATTGCCAGTGGCACTAGGAGAGAGGCTAACTGAAGAAGGTGTTATGTGATGATGTTTGAAGGAGGCAAGGCAAACAAAAGTGCTTGAGGTGTGCCTAGCTGATCAAATGCATCCGACGGAGTGTTAAAGTTATAGACCTACATATTATATAGCCAAACTTGGTGTTTCTTTTTTTTCCCTCCCTTTTTTCTTTTTTAATTTTATATCCAGATATTTTATCAGTTTTACCAAATGAGGATTCAACAGCATTTTTTTAATTATCATATTTTTAATTTTGCTCAAATTTTGTACACTGTTCACATTTTAACTTCAATATAAATACTTTTTTCAGTAAATCAAGAAACTCTTAATATTTTTAAAATAGATGTATATTTTCCTCTTTGAATTGACTGTGATAAACTTTGTGCATTTATTTTGTTGTGTAATTAAAAATAAAAGAATTTCTTTTTTCGAAATACCTGGACATTTGCTTCTTAAGTATTTTTCAAGAGTGGGTCATTTATAAACCTAGTAAAACAATTCACATTTACCAAACCTATGGGAGCTAGAAAGCGAGGAAGGCCGCCAATTAGGTGGCTTGATGCTCTTGAAGATGACAATAGGTCCAGTTGACATAAAAGTATTGCCATGAATAGGTCGTGAAAAGTATTATTTTGTATTTGTATTACTTTATATTTAAAATGCTGTAAATTCATTATAATAATCAGTAATAAAGTTTTGTCCTTCAAAAATATGTACAAAAAGGGGGTGCGTCTTATACATCGGCAAATAAGGTAAATTAAAATTTTTATTTGTTTAATATAGTGTTTACCTTTTTATGTCATAAATTTAATGATTTTGATTATTTTTGTGTCATCAGCCTGTACACAAAGTACTGTTGTAAATTTTAAATAAGCAATCATCTGTAGTTAAGAAATGAATTAATCATCTTACGTTCAGAAGTCAAACAACATCTTACGTTAATTGTTACTGGAAAAGTAATTTTGGTTTATGAGCGTTTTGGATGACAGTTGGCCTTCAAGGAACGAATTAAATTCGTGAACCAAGGTTGCACTGTATTTATTAAATATGAATGTATAAATTAGTTTTCTAAACGTTATAATATCATATCATATTATAACAAGAGTGAATTTTCATTCAGAATAGTTGACAAAAACTTTTTATTCTGTACTTATGTATTCTGTAGTAGAATCAAACTTTTATGAATGATATTTTTTAATGTTTCTTATAAATATATTTATTTTTCAGATTATCGATGAGGTATACAGAATTTTAAAATATATCAAAATCACCCCAAGTTTAAATCAAGCATATAAAGTTACAGATGAGCTCTTTGATTTATCAACAATGGCTATTGAATATTATAAGGAACATATTGAGCCAACTATTCCTGAAATGGCTTTTTATACATCTGATTCTTCTTCATTAAGCTGTAAGAATATTTATATAATATTAGAGAGTTAGAATATTTACTTGTATCATTTATCCAAATAAATAATACAGTACCAAGTCCGAGATCCGGACACGTTGGGACTTCGGCAGTTCTGGATTTGGGATTTTTCCTAATATTAGATCATCAGTTTAAATCTAGTCAGATGGCATGTAGAAATTATAAAATTAGAAATATGAAATTGTGGTTTATGAAATAATGGGGCATTTATGATCTAAAGTGTATTAAAATTAAAAAGAAAAATTGTTAATATTTATCTGTTTACTTTATTAAACATTTCTCTCAATGTAAGTTAAGTTGCTTTGTTTTTTCTGCTAATACTTTCTCTGTAATTCTGTAGAAGGACATAATTTCTTGTTCAGTTCCAAAGTCCTATTGTTCAAGTTGTTTAACTGCTGTTTCGAGAATTCCAACTAGCTTCTCAATCAAAATCTTTTTGTTTTCGGTAAACTCTCTGTCCACTTTCTGTATTATCGGTATTTTCTGGTTCTAGAACTGTACTTCAAATTTCACCATCCATTGATTGATTAAGGATTAGGGTATTGTCAATAAAATGAAAACTTCTGTTATATTTTAAAGTATTTCTCCCACCTTTCTAGTGTGCCTTCATGGTGTAGTAGTTCTGCACGCTGGGCCAGTATTCCAGAGGTCCATGGTTCGATTCCTGGCGAAGGCATTTGCTAATTTTTCAATCTCGCTTCCAAAACATCCTAATGTCTCTACAGTGGCACCCAAACTAAAAGGTGTTGGATGATGATTTTCCTCACCCAGGATTTGGCAATTGGGTCCCCTAAAAAAAACGCAGTCGACCTTTAAAAGGGGGAGTATATAAGGTATTTCTCCCGCCTTCATGCTGAGCCGGTATTTCAGAGGTCCGTGGTTCGATTCTCGGTGAAGGCGGTTGCTAATTTTTCATCTCGCCTGCTCCAAAAAAATCCTAATGTCTCTACAATATCATCTTAAGTTACTGCTTCTCCACATTTCTTTACAAAATTCATTAATTGGAAAATTTCACTTTTGGTTTATGATATCCAAAAACTTTCAAATTCGTGTCTGTAATCTTCATCATCCTCGCCATGAAATATGGTAGCTGGCTGTAAATTATGCCAAGCATTTTTGAAGTATTTGGAGACACATTCTTCCACAATCTTGTGATACTCCATGCAGCAGATTTTATGCTAAAATATTTTTAAAAAAAACTCTGGAATAGTGTTGCCATTATTCAAGAAATTTAACATGGATTTTTAAAATACTACGTTATATTTGCATTTCAGTGTGCGCACTATTTCGATATCCATAGGCTGAATGATGGACATCCACTTTGTAGGAAAGAATAATATGGATACATTATCTTTCGCTAAAACTTTTCAGTGAAGTATGAGCTGAACAGTTGTCTACAATCAGGAAAATTTATGCATCATCAGATAAACCATATGAATTCAAATATTGCTGAGCCTCGGATATGAAATGATTTTCAAATCAATCTTTCATTAACGCTTGTGTTATCCATGCTCTTTTATTTACATGATATATAACAGGGAAAATCTTTACCCCTTTAAATGCTTGAGGTCGTATTTTTTTCGATTACGAAAAGTTTACACTTGTATATTCCTGCAGCATTTGCGCATGCTAAAATTACTAGTTTCGCTTTGGAATCTTTGACACCAGTTGGAGCCTTTTCTGTAGAGGTTGCCAAGGTATATTTTATGGTACACAAAGACTAGTTTTATCAGCGTTGTAAATTTCTTAGTGATAACTTTTCACTATTTATAAATTCAATGAATTTGTCTGCAAATAATTCAGCAACTTTAGTGTCAGCTGAGGCTTTTCCACCTGAAATTTTTAATTGCCTTATACCATGGTGAGTTTTGAATTTGGTTAACCAACCTGTCATATATTTGGTTGAATATATGCACTCTTTTTAAGTTCATTACTTCATAAAATATTTCGGCTTGAACCATTAGCATTGGACTCGTCAATGGCACGCCCTCGCTGTGACACTGTCTGATCCATGCAGTCATCACTTTGTCATAATCGTCACTTTTAGCATAACGAATAATTTTTCTGTTATTCATTCTGTTTGAGTACGGTGTTGGAATCCAAAAAAAATTCAAAACTTCCTTTTTCTGTTTTCTTATGTCATATACATTTGAATCTCTAATGACATACTCCTCGTATAATTTTGAGATGAATATATCTTTATCCATTTTATGTTTAATGGGCATTGAAACATGCTTTTGCTTCATAGATCTTGTTTCAGGTCCTGAATTAGAAACTCTTTTCGACATAATTGAAAGTTCAAACTTTAATTTTCATAAAATAGCTGTAATAATAGCAGCTGACAAAAAATAACAAGCTGGATCAAATCAGAAAATTAAGGAACAGCATAATTTGCTATATTAACTGAATTTTTTTGGAATAATGTTTGACCTAAGGCACAGATCATTGTGCCATACACCATATTTACAGGGCATTAGTGTACTGTAAACTGGATTGTAACTGAGCACAATCTTCTGTGTTACTGAAGATAAGTCCTGTTCACCATCAGGCACTCTGGATGTGTTCTTGAAGCATTTAAAATGTCATTTGTTTAGAGTTTGTATGTTGACTCTTTTGAATCAGTACTCCAGTTATGGCACAAGCAGTTTTCTCTTCTTCATTATTTCAGTATACTGTCACAACTAGACCATTCTAATAGGATCACTTAGTGTGATGAGATGTTTGATCACTTGTTTGAAACATAGTAATCTTGTGTGCTTTCTTTATCTTCAAGAGTCTGGCCATTGACTAAAGGGTATTGCTTATCTGACATGAATGAGGCAGGTAGTAAATAATTTTAAAACAAGATGTCTTTTTTGTTGTTGCTGTGTTGTTCTGGCATACAACATTACAACACGTAATGCAGTGATTGTGCTGTCTTTAGCTTAGATTCCAAGAGCAGTAAGTGAATACAATAACACATGTAACTGAATGCTCATTTGCAGTATGGTTTAGTAGTTTAAAAGCTTACTCATGAATGTTTTTGTTTTGTTTTGTGTGTAAGAGAGAGAGAGAGACCCTCAGAATACGATAATATTTTAAATTAATAACCAAATAGTAAATTAAAGTCTAAAAACCTGGCTCCTAATTTAAGTGGTTCTATATGTGGCCGAGTGATTAAGTATTGTGGAATACTGGTAATTTGTCTTGGAGTCAAAATGAGGCAAATGAGAAGGCTCCATAGTTGGTTTTCATGATTTTCCCCACATGTAGCGTAAATACGAGCCTCTTTTTCTTGCATAAGTCCTTCATGAATCCTTAACTTTATTGAGCAGTTATCTTAATAATTTGCTTTATTTTCTCCTTGGCTCTCACAGGGTGCAAAATAATTCATGTAATTAAGAACTTCATGAGAGAACTTGTGTCACTTAAACCCTGACCATAAGGTATGAAACAAGAAAAACAGAAATAGCAGGGGTAACTGCTACTTATTCCAGTATCTGAATTACTTGTATTGGGATAGCTTAGCTAGTTAAAATTGCATGTGTTAGTTTGAGAGTCTGAGCCAAAGCATATATTCACATTTTTTCTTGTAAATATTAGGTTGTCCGGAAAATAGTGCAGGATTTAACCTATATCTTTAAAGCATCATAACTCAACTCAAAAGCAATTTTATTAATCAAAATAAGCACCAGCTGAATCAATGCATTTTTGCCAATGAGATATAAGTTTATTTATGCCTGTAGAATAAAATTCTGGGGTTCCGGACATGATAAAGTCTTCAAAGGCGTTTTTGACCTCGTCTTGGTTTCTGAAGCATTTCTTCTGCAGAATGTTATCCGGATGTTTGAAAAAGTGGTAATCAGTCAGCGAGAGGTTGGGCGAATATGGGGGAAGAGGGAGAGTCATTCCGATTCGTTCAGTTTCTGTAGAGTCAGTTGCACAACGTGTGGACGAACATTGTTGTGGAGAAGAACTGGCTCTTTTCTGTTTGCCAGTGCCCACATGCATTGCAATTTTTGGTGCATTTCCTCTGCACTTATCTTAGTACTTATCAGCTGTAATCGTTTTGCCCAGATTTAGGAAGCTGTGGTGGATGAGACCGGCCGCAGGCCACCAAACAGACACTATAATTTTCTTTTGGTACAAATTTGGCTTTGGAAAGTGTTACGGTGTCTGACCACAGTGCAACCACTGAGCTGAATGTCACCGGTTGTTATAGATAATCCACTTTTCACCGCATGTAACAATTCGATCAAGAAAAAAAGTCATTTTTGCTGCGGAGAAGGAAAGCAGACAGCACTTCAAAATGGCGATTTTTTTAAATTTTCGCTCAATTTGTGAGGCACCCTTTTATTGAGTTTCTTTGACTTTCCAATATGATTCAAGTAATCAGAAATTGTTGTTTTGCTTACGCAAAGATCCTCCGCAAGCTCTTGAACAGCTGTGCACAGGTCTGTTTCAACCAAAGTCTCATCAACAGCTGAAGAGTGTCCATGATGCTCTTGATCTTTCAGGTCAACCATGACGAAACTTTTGCTGCTTCTGTTGAACTGTACATTCATTAACACTTTTATCACCCCATAATTTGTTGACATTTTGAGCCGTTTGTGCTGACCTGTGGCCTGGGTTGTACTCATAAAAGTAAATTTGCCGAAAATCCTGTTTTGACATCTAAACAAAAACACCTAGTAAATATTTTTGAAAATAATTTTGGAACAAAATGATTATTATAGAAATATAGAGTGAAAATAGAGCTTCAAAATGATATACAAACCAATATAATTCAAAATATTTTCGTTGCTAAAAATGTACAGTAACAATAAACAATTGCAAAAACTTGCATTATTTTCTGGATAACCGGATATTATATTTTAGTGTTTGAATTTTAGTTTAACTTTTTTCCTGTCATTTCTGTAACCTGCATAGTTTGCTTTTTGTTATTGTACAGATTGTGAACTGTTAGGCTGATCAATTAATAAACCTTCTGTGTTAAGAGTCAACTTTACTTAGAGCTTAAGGTGGAGTGATAAGACATCAGACTATCTTTATGTATTCAGGGATTAACATTTAAGTAATTAGGATTTGTACAAAATGAAACTAACCATGGGAGAAAATTTAGAATATGTGTTTAATATTGAGATGTTTGACATCAGAATCATGTAAATGGTTCGATAACTGGAATTGATATCATAATTTAAGTCAATTTTTGATGTTCCTTTGAAATGACAATGTATGCAGCCTGGAAACTCTCATTTCTCTTGCGACAATTCTCCTGGTTTTTTGTATTTGAAGGCAAGCAGCTGTGAACTTGTAGAAGAATAATTATGGGGTTAAAAACTGGAAATTTAAAGATCCTTAGAAGTCAGATTTCAGCTGGAAAATTAGGTGGATTGTTTATAGAAATGTCCACTTCATTGCAGTCTCTACATAGCTTAACATGCATAACAATGCTATTTTAATACAGTCAAAAGTCGTTAATCCGGACTCGTCGGGACTTCGGCGATTCCAGATTATCGATTTTTCCAGATTATAGATCATCAGTTTAAATCTGGTAAGATGGCATGCAGATTTTTCCAGATTATAGATCATCAGTTTAAATCTGGTAAGATGGCATGCAGAAATTATAAAATTAAAAATATGAAGCCGTAATTTATGAAATAAAGAACAATTATGATCTAAAGGGTATCAAAATTTACAAAAAAAAAACTTAATATTTAATTGTTTACTTTATTAAACATTTCTTTCAATGGTTGTTGTTAAGTTGCTTCGTTTTTTATGTGATAATACTTTCTCTTTAATTCTATAAACATACATAATTTCTTGTTCAGTTACAAAGTTCTGCTGTTCAAGTCCTATAATTGCTGTGTCGAGAATACCGACTAATTTGTCAAACGAAATTTTTTCGTATTCAATAACCTCTGTGTCACTTTCTTCACTGTCCGAAGCGAATTGTAATGACGAGGAATTTGATTTAAATCATATCAAAGACAGAGTACATCGAGATGAAATACTACATTTAGTAAGGAATTATAAGCCAAATAAAATAAATACATCTGCCCTGAAGATAAGGATAGTGCTGACAGATCAACTTCCAATTCATCGCGCGCCGAGGCGTCCCCCCCCCCCCCGCCGCAGATCAGCATGAAATTCAGAATGGTTAAATAAACACAGGATATGCCTTTATCCATTTTTTGTAGCAATTCCACTGTTTGTTTAATGGACTTCGAAACATACTTTTGCTTTGTAGATCCTTTACATATTAGTAAACATATATCGGAAATTCTATTTGACATAATCGAAAGTTCAAGCTTACTTTTATAAAATTGCTCTAACAGTCTGCAAAAAATAATAAGTCGGATCCAATTCGAAGATTAATGAACAACTCAATCTGCAACATTAACTGAATTAGATAATTTTAGCTTAGCTTATACCATCCGTTATACATTAAAAGCGCAAGTGTAAACGTATTAAGCGCATGCTCACACGCATATTTCGCAGCCGTAAAAGTCTTACGCGTCAACGCGACGCATGCACAGAAAGTTTGTAGCTTTGAGGTACTGATTATAGATCATTCTGGATTATGGGTGTCCGAATTAACGACATTTGACTGTACTAATGATTTTAAAATGGTTTTTATTACATTCTTTTTAAAAAATGCAATACAGTTGTATTTTTTCTTTCTCCTTTGAATCTTTAAGCAAGAGTACTGAAATGGATTCATTATGAAGAACTGCTATTTTATAAAACTCAACAGCTCTTTTGCAAATTTCATAGTTTTTTTCAAATGTATTATATTTAAAGTCTCTTATTATTGTAATTATTTTGCAGCAGTCTCTGAAACTGAATCATCAGCTAGTGACTTAGTAGTGGCTGTTACCCCAATTGAAATCTCTTTTCAAGCACTTAAACGTTTTAGTACCATAAAAGAAATAGTTAACCGGTAAGGTTTTGATGTAAAATTTATCAACCTTTTTTTTTTAAAAAAAAATAAAATTATAAATATTTTTGATCGTATTTATACTTGATATTCTTGAGTTATTATACTCTTGATTTTTCCTTTACTTCTGGTTTGCAATGTAAGTATCAAGCGGAATTCATTTTTAACTATTATACTTCTAGGCAACATACAAGTGCATCTCATTTTGATTTCAGTTGATTTTATTAGATTCTTAAAGGTATTTTATTAGCTAATTAACTTTCCTAATTAGTCGATAAGGATCATATCATGATCAACCTAAAAAGAGGGTTTAAAAAATATTTTTAATTTCAAAATTTTTCCTTCTGTATGGAATGTAAAATTTTCTTTAATGTTGAAATTCATTATTAAATATTTTTATTTAAATGATTTGAAAATGTGTGTTGCATATAAATATACACATCAAATGTTAATCCATTTTTCTTAGTTACTGTCAAAAGTCGTTAATCCGGACTCGTCGGGACTTTGGCAATTCCGGATTATCGATTTTTCTTGATTATAGATCATCAGTTTAAATCTGGTAAGATGGCATGCAGAAATTATAAAATTAAAAATGTGAAACCGTAATTTATGAAATAAAGAACAATTATGATCTAAAGGGTATCAAAATTTAGAAAAAAAAAAAAGCATAATATTTATTTGTTTACGTTATTAAACATTTCTTTCAATGTAAGTTTGTTTAAGTTGCTTTGTTTTTATGTGATAATACTTTCTCTTTAATTCTATAAACAGACATAATTTTCTTGTTCAGTTACAAGTTCCGCTGTTTCAAGTCCTATAATTGCTGTGTCGAGAATACCGACTAATTTGTCAATCGAAATTTTTTCGTTTTCAATAACCTCTGTGTGTCACTTTCTTCACTATCGAAGCGAATTATAATGACGAGGAATTTTGATTTAAATCATATCAAAGATGGAGTACATCGAGATGAAATACTGCATTTAGTAAGGAATTATAAGCCAAATAAAATAAAAACATCTGCCCTGAAGATAAGGATAGTGCTGACAGATCAACTTCCAATTCATTGCACACCGCCCCCCCCCCCCGCAGAGCAGCGCAAAATTGATAAACAGGTTTCCCAATGGTTAGATAAACAAAAGATTATGCCTTTATCCATTTTTTGCAGCAATTCCACTTTTTGTTTAATGGACTTCGAGACATACTTTCGCTTTGTAGATCCTTTACATATTAGTAATATATATCGGAAATTCTATTTTGACATAATCGAAAGTTCAAGCTTACTTTTATAAAACTGCTCTAACAGTGTGCAAAAAATAATAAGCCGGATCCAATTCGAAGATTAAGGAACAATGCAATCTGCAACATTAACTGAATTAGATATTTTAGCTTAGATTATACCGTCTATTATACATTAAACGGGCATGCATAAACATATTATGCACATGCACACACGCACATTCGCAGCCGTAACGGTCTTGTCAACGCGACGCATGCGCAGAAAGTTTGTAGCTTTGAGGTCCGGATTATGGGTGTCCGAATTAATGACTTTTGACTGTATAACAAACAAAATTTCTGCTGAGCAAAAGATATTAAAATATAGAATGAAAAATGATATAGTATACTTATAAATACTTTAGTATTTACTTGTCAAGTTATACTCAGTTTTTTTAATGGAAAAGTTGTACAAGAAAACACACTTAATGTGAATCTGATATGCACAATGATGATATGATACAATGATGAATGAATGATGTGATACTATTTCGTACTAATGAATATGAATAATACAATTTTATGCAATACTTTATGTGAGTATGGTTAATGCAGTTTCACGTAAATGCATTAACATAATTTTCTTTTCCTTATGTAAAATTTTTACGACCAAATTGCAGAATGGGGGAATTGTTTTAAATCCAACAATACTTTTAAAATGAGCAACGAAAAATTAGTTATATTAAAGAAATTTATGTACATATATTAATATTTCAAGCACATAAATAACATATTTTGTGCATATTTATGAAATATACAGGCATTAATATTCCTAGCACAGAAACAACATATTTAGTAAAATGTTATTTGCTTTATGCTTATTTTGAATAGTTTCAAGGATTGGCATATTTATTTGAATAAAATTTGTCAAGCATCACATTAGAATTTTGTTAATGATAAAATTCTTTTTTCTGCGAAAGGCTTTTTGTTAGCAGCAAAAATTATTTAGTTTTCTGTTATACTGAGCATTTTAAGGAAATCTTGTTTAATTCTGATATGGTGTGAAGTTTCTTAGTCCTCAAAATCTTGAAATTGCTGACTATCACAAATTGCATGACATGGTGGTTATTATTCAATCACCTTCACATAAATGTTTTGTGAAAAGATAACTCAGCAAATTATTATGCATTAGTTAGAAAAGTTAAATGATTTATTTTTCATTGAGTCTGATTATTTTCCAATAATTCTTTTCCTTTTCTTTTTTCCTGTCAAATTTAGACCTTTTTTGTATGAAGTAATGCAATTTCAGTTGATATATGTAAGTTGATAAATTAACTGTATTAAGTAAGATTTTTCTTTCTGTGCATTTTAAAATGAACACAAATATTTAGATCATATTTACACGAATTAACAGTTTTCAGTATCTTATGTTACAGTATAATAATCTAAAAAGTGCGAGTCCTATATATTAACTAAAATATCAATGATATTATTTTAATTTTTTGGAAAACAATACAGCATCACTCTCAAAAGAAAATACAACAAGCAATAAATCACTAATGAAGTTTAAAAAAAAAATTGTATCTTCATAAACTCTATATTCAAACAAAATAAAACTGCTTCAAAAAAAAAATTAATCATGCTTAAAAGCTGTAGATTGCATAATATATTAATCTTATTGCTAAATATATTAAATCAGTAGTTCCTAGTGGGATTGGTATTTGTAATTGAATTTCAAAGGGGTTAATAGCCGAATATGCACTGGCAGTTGATCAGAATAATCAGGATCCCATTAATTAGAAAAAGAATCATTAATAACATTGATTAATCATTGTTTATTGATATGAAGCTATATCAAATTTAGTCTTCTTATTTAAGACACATGGATGCTCAGAGCTGTTTTATGAACTTATTATATGCCAAATATTAAAAAAAAATCTGATGTGTACACCACATGATTTTCTTGTATGTAATATTAAATTATATGCATTTTTTCTGCATTTCATTAGAGGTATATTTTTTATGCAATTAAGTCAGATCTCACTTCACGGCCAGGCAAAAATGCATAAAACCTCAAAATATTTTTATTGAAAATTAAAAAATATAGAAGAAAAAAAAACAGTTAAAACAAATTAAAGAACAACTTCTACAATTAAAATTGGAGTTGCTACATAAAAACAAGCAATTCAGCCGACAGGCAAGAAGGCAGATTTCTCGGTGCACAAAACTTAAAGTTTACTTTTGGTCTCACTTGGCAAAAAGACACTGAAGGCATTTATTATGGACACTACGCTGAGTTAATAATGTAATAACTTAAATGTTAATTCCAGAATAGATTAAGCATGGTTTAATTCACAATAATAAAAGAAGACCTTATCTTTGTTGTTGAGAAGCTTAGTTTCTCTAGATCAGCAACAAATCCACTACTCTGCTAAGATTCAAATGTAAAAAAAATATGGCTGCTATGTTAAGCAAAAATTAGGCTTAGCCATCCTTAACACTTTCATCGCGGCAATGGCCCACCTTTGTCTCACCCTCTGCACTAAGAGTGCATCGCTCTCCACAGTGCTAAAATCGAAAGAAAACAGAAATTTCTTTAAAACTTTTATATTTTACTTTGAAAAACAATAATCAGTTGCAATCAATAACAATTCTCACTATTATGATTTATTTGTGTTTACAGACAAAAATAATAAAAAAATAAAATAAAATAAAATAAAATAAAATAAAAAATCCTAAATATTGCATAAATTAGAATCTCTCTGGACTATGATATTTTTCAAAACAAGGTTCTACACATAGTGTGGCTTTGTGCAAGTTTTGCACAGGTAACGAGTTTCTCGGCGAATTTTGTGCGAATTGGTACTACGCTGGTCTGTGTTGGTGTAGCCTTGCTTGAGGTTGCTGTTGTGTCTTAAGTAATGTTGTCCTTCCATGCACAACATATCGGAGAATTTATGATGCAAGAAATAATTTCTTTGTGTGTTAGTAGTCTTGCGTTCACTGGAGTTTATTAGTAAAGGTATAATTTTATTTCTAAACCAAATTTGGTGTTGCCTTTTTTTTGGTGTGTGTGTGTGTGTGTAACACATAAGCATTGGAAATTGACATATCTAAATGCTGCAGAACCACTTTCCTATATCATTTTAACAATTTCCGTATTGGCGAGTAATACAAAACTAGTTGATCTCTTTTGTTGATTCCGCACATTTGTTTATTATAATGCAGAACACAGTTTGGCTTCATGATAATTTCCTCTTTTTGATTTTTTTTCCAGTGTTCTTCATTTTAGCTGAGTACTCAGTCATTAGTGTGATACATATCACTTATCTCTCCATTTCTTTACTACAGTATGATCCATTTTGTATGCGACAGTTTCTCCTCATTTTAGCTTTGCTTTCACAACTTGTTTGGGCAGATATTTTCTAATTAATCGTAATGTTCCACATAACGTTTTGTTTTTGAGGAGCTTTTTTGCCAGTGGGATACTTGTATAATAACTGTCTGTGTTTAGGAGTTTGTCCATCAAACTAATCACGGCGCTTTCTCCGTGACCTAATCCCGACATTGAGTTTATTGTACCACAGTAGACAAGTACATTCCACACGCAATTGCTTGGCTCACAGAGCATGTAAAGTTTTATGCCATACTTGTGCCGTTTTCCCGTAATATATTGCCAAAAGACAGGCCGTCCTCGCTATAAAACTATCGACTCATCTACTAAAAGTTCCTTTTCGTGTGTTTAAATTTTTTGAAAATTATCCAGGAGAGCATTACAAATCTTTTGCAAC